GAAAGTCATTGCTCACTTTGATCTTGAAGATAGCTTTCAACGCTACCATTTACACGATCTAGATCGAGAGAAACAACAGGGTGTTCAAACAAAGAGTTCGATCTGCAGAAGAAATTATCTAGACCATTAAAGAATCTGTCAGCTTGATTCTTAGGGGTAAAAATATCAATAAAATTAATCCTGTTAATATTACTTTATGTAATCAATGGGGTATAGAAGAACATTGATTCTTTTGTAAGTTTACTGTGTTGCTTTGAAACTTTTCTGTACTCTTGAAGCATTATGCTCTTTGAATATATTTGACTTATCCAAAAAAAAATTGATTTAGTTTAATATTATTTAAATAGATTTTGATTTCGAGTTATTATTTGTTTAATACGCAACCCAATAAGGGAAAAAAATTAATACGCATAAAATGGTGTAATAAGACAAATCACGGCTCTTTAAACTTAAAGTAATACTATAATTGTATTTGGACAGTGATATTTATGATCGAAAGTCAACATTCTTGATATGCATGACATAAGCTAGGAAAGAGATTGAATGACCTAAACCTAATTCAACATCCAATTACTTATTATACAAGAAATCTTGAATGGCTTTTCTTATTTGAAAAATAATTACAAAAATACTGTTAATATATAATTTAACTCATTTTTTACGACTATAATATATTACTACTAGGGATGGTAAATGGGTACAGTTTCATGGATTCCGCATCGCATCCGCTCCAATTGAAGCGGGGATGGGTATAATTTTAGCGGGTAATGGGCGGGTGTGGATTTATAAAGTGGTACCCGTCGTGGGTGGTGGGCGGGTAATGGGTTTGAGACATTACCCGCCCCGCATCCACCCGCCCCGCATCCGCCCGCCCCACATCCGCCCGCCCAACTAAATATCTATTAAATTTTGGACCATAATGAATTTATGTGTAATTTTAGAGACTAATTTATAAATTTTAATATTGTATAATATATAACATATAATTTAACCAAATATTAAGGATATTTAGTCTTTAATCTAGTCTTTAATCTGGTCTTTAATTAGAGAAATATTCGACTCTTTGATTAAACCCATAATCCCACTAACCACGTCACTTTCCATGTTCTTTAGCCCATGCTGCCCATACAAACACAAATTAGTTGTACTATAAGCATTAACATCAAAAGCATCAGTTTCCATGTTCTTTAGCCCCTCAAACCCATATTAAGCGCACTATGAGCATTAACATCGAAAGCAACTCAACAATCCAGCTCTGCGACTACATGCTCCCTACAATTTGTCTCCATAACATTCGTAGAGCCACTCATCTGACAAATTGAAGCATACGCTGTTACCCCATCACGAACTGTCTGGGAACCAACTCCAACATCCATTAGTTTGATGTTAGGCGGGTCTAGATGGGTATGTCGCTAGTGGGTAGTGGGTGTGGGGATGTATTTAAAAATGTACCCGCGTGGGAGGGTGTGGATTTGAAAATTTGTACCCATCATGGGTGGTGGGCGGGTGGTAGATTAAAAAATATTAAGTGGGTATGAGAATGGAGGAGGGGATATCCGCACCCGACCCGCCCGATTACCATCCCTAATTACTACACTAGAAGTTATAATTAGAGTTGAGTTTATTTAAATTTAATTTTTGCAATTATATTTGATAAATGATATCTGATAAAATCAAATTCAAAACAATTACGATTTATATTATTATATCAGTGACGGATCTAAAAATTTAAAAATGAGATCAAAAAATTTTAATACTTTTTTTTCAATATAATGTGTATGCAAATTTTTTTTATTTTCTTCTATTCTTTTAATATATTGAACTATATTAAATATTTAATCTAAAATAATGAGTGTGTATTTGACCCATATGTGACTATATGCATCCGCCCTTGTATTATATATATAAAAAAGGATTTGAGCTGATATTAAGTAAGAGTGAAAAACTTTCGTTCCCATACAATAATTATGTAAGGAATAAGAAGAAGAAGAGTAAAAAGATTCAAGCACAAATTATCATTGAAAATGAAACCCTAGAAAATCTGATTAACTCTACCGATCGTTAATCTCATACTCGTTGAATGCGTGAGAACATTCTTCTTCTTCCCTTTGAAACTCATCAGCTTAGACCAAAACCCTTTTCTCTTGTTCTTCCCGTGCTTAGCATCTTCTTCCTCCACGTTCCTTGTTACTAACGCAATGGATCTGCTCTTCTTCAAACCCTTAATACTACCAAGCTTTACCATGATCGACGGAGACGACGTCGTCGACAACGACGACGAAAACAGCCCCTTTATTCCCGTCCCGCCGAAACCGTTCAGCTTACGGTGTTGAGAGACGGCGGGGGAAGCGGTGGTCGAAGATGGAAGCGAAGAGTCGTCGGCGGGAGAAAAATATGGCGACGGAGAGGAAGAAGCGAAGAGTATTGAATTAACTTCTTTGTATGAAGCAGAACAAAGAAGAGATAGTCTTTCTCTTAAACATGAAGCGCAAACCCCTTGCTTTTCATTGTGATTTGGGTGATTCTTGCATCTTTCAGAGAAGCCCATCCCAGAATTTAAAAAATAAAATGAAATGAAATGAAACTCTCAAACTGTTCAATCTTTTTGATTGCTCTGTATATACACACAATCACTATGCTTCCTAGAACGTTCAGCGTACGTAGATAGTCGTTTGCAAAACCAAATCTGTGAGTTACACGTCACTGTGATCTTTGTAGATCAATGTGGTGGTCATAGCCGATGGATCATTTAAAAGATCATGATGTTTGATGAAATATCATTCAAAATTTAGACAGTGACTTGAGCTTTCTCACTCTCACGTGCAGTGGGGCCACCATTTTTTTTTTTATTAACCTCAATTGGATTCAAAGCCTACACGGGAATTACAATGCAATAGAATAAAATTTTGCAGAATCAGATCATCAGCAAAGCTATGCAAGTTCATTGCCACACAACAATGTGAAAAGAATTGCTTCTCTAGGGAGACAAAAGAAGAACCCTGATTTTCTCTAGAATGAAATCAAGCAGGCCTGTTTCTTTTGAGACCAGTTTTGCCATCCATGGATCTGGTGAAAGAACTCGAAACATCGCCATAGATATCGACCACTCTTCGTATGTTGTTGTTGAGCTCCCTAATCAGACCAACATTTCTGGTCAAGTTGTGGGGCATCTTGGACTCATGGTTCTGGTTTATCTCGTTGATTAGCAGCCTGTTCTGGACCAATATATTCTGGACCTGAACAAAGCTCTTTTGAAATGTCTGCACCACCTTGCTATCCATTTGATCACCATTACCATCGTTGCCTAGCCCCGACTATGTATCACTGTCACCTCCATTTTTACTTCAAAACCAGTCCAAAACCGAACACTACGGATTCGAGCATTAAACATGGAGGAGATAAAGAAACATTAAAATGGCTAATGAAAAAAAAATCTCCCTTTAACATTAATCTCGTTTGACACTTTTATGCGATAATCAATGAACTTTCTTGAACAAACGAATAAAGGAATCATGCATCAAAAAATCAATAATCATGTAATCAAGTAAAATAAAAAATCAAGAAAAAAATTAAATAAAAAACCTGCATGAGAGTTTAAAAATACTGATAGCCATGATATCTTTATTAGAGAAAGGGTCAAAAGTAATAAGTAGTGGCCAGAGAAGACCACCACCGCTGCCGGGGAAAAAACGAAAACTGCTCAAGAGTAACTGCGGCAGAGTTTGTATAATTCAATGATCTTAGATGGGCCCACCAAATTTTGAACACCACTTAAACTAAAAAATAAATGGGTAAATTACAACCGTGGCCATTTAACTATGGGTTATTCTAATCCTACAATAGATTTTTAAATTTTATCAATTATTTTACTTGATTATTTAAATCATATCAATCAAACCATATGTCGATAACATTTAACGGAGGAGTTGATGTGATTGATAACAAAAATGGTGCTATCTTCTATCTCATAATATATGTCTTATATTGATTATGAACATAATTTTAGTAGATATATATATATATATATATATATATATATAAAGAAATATGTGTTGTTGTTTGTTGACTTTTCTAATATGACATTTTTAATGAAATAATTTTAAAAATCAAAAGAGGCACATTTAGTGTGATGAAAGGAGTATAATCATACATTTGTTTTCCATTACTTACACATTTTATAAATTTGGTCTTAATTTGAATCTAGTTTAATAAATTTAATCCACCAATCATATAGTGGCATGTGCCATTACGTGTCAACTAGATAATTTAATGATTTAAATAATGTCAATCAAATCATCTACCATCAACATTTGACTCAAAAGCTGATTTAACGGTTAATAAAATTGATATAATTATATATTTAGCATTTATACTTATATATTATAAAATTTTTAATCTAATATAATAATTTAATCTTCTAATTATATAATGACAAATATCACTAATAACATGGGTTACAACCTTAATCAAATCTACTCGACAATCAATTTAATAACATGTGTAACAAATGCATATACTAGCATGCTCTAATATATAACATGGTATTATAATTTCTTATCAAAATACATAAACACACAATTCAAATGATATGCAGTCAAGTGGTCGTATTAGAGCCATAACCACAAATTAGGTATTTTATACAATTTTCCGACACAAATTGAAATTATAAAGCACATGAACATGTATACGTATTCAATTTTGATTACATTTGTATAATCTAAACTTACGATATTTTGAAAATTAATGAATTATCCGATAACTTGATATAATAAAGACGAACAATAAAATATTTCTCACAAAGATGTTATCATAACTTAATAAATCTAAGAATTATTTTATAATTGTTTAATGAATATAAAGATTATTTTGTAATAAATTAATGTATTTAAAGATTCTTTTATAATTTTTTAAAAATTAATATTTTTTTTAATATAATTCAATACTTTATAACAAAACAAAAGAAAAACCAACCCGCCAAACACGTCATAAGTTTGATATCTGATATTTTCACAATAAATGCTCACTTCACCTTTTTCCGAGTCTTCATTTCCTTTGATTTGTTCTTCAATGGGGCGGATTCCAATTCTCAGGGACATCATCGGAATCATCAAAGACAAAGCTTCTCAAAGCAAAGCAGCTTTGCTTTCCGATCCCAAAACCCTATCCCTCCACTTAGCCTTACTAAGAGCCACAACCCATGACCCTTTCGCTCCACCCGACCCGAAGCACTTGGACGCTTTACTTGCCTCCGGTGATACCTCACGCGCCTCCGTTTCCACCGTCGTCGAGGCCCTCATGGACCGTCTCCAGACTACCCGTGACGCCTCCGTTGCCCTCAAGTGCCTCATTACGGCTCATCATATCGTTAAACGTGGCAGCTTCATTCTTCAAGATCAGCTCTCTGTTTACCCTTCCAATGGCGGCCGGAACTACCTTAAACTTTCCGATTTCAGAGATAACACCACGTCGTTAACCTGGGAACTTTCCTCTTGGGTTCGATGGTACGTTTTCGTTCATTAGATTCTTTTTCCCAGAAAATATTTGGTTACGATATCAGATTCAGAGCAAATATTCATTGAAAACAATTTGCAGGTATGCTTTATACCTTGAAAATCTGTTACAAACGTCACGGATTCTGGGGTTCTTTCTAAGTTCAACTTCAAGCAGTGCAGGTAAAGATGAAGAACAAGAAGAGAAAGTGTCATCGCTTATAAATAGCCAGTTGCTTAATGAGATAGACTCTCTGGTGAATTTGATCGAACAGATTTCGAGAATGCCCGATTCTTCTCATGCCGAAGGTAACTTATTGGTGGAAGAGGTTGCGGGGTCGGTGGTTGAGGATTATTTGTCGTCGATCAACGAAGTTTCAATCCGAGTCGGTGAGCTTAAAGAGAGACTGAGTTGTTTGAGCTTTTTTGACTCGGTTGAGTTGGTGCTTGCTTTGAAGAGATTAGAAGATTGTAAGGAGAGATTGTCATCACTTTCGCAAATGAAGAATGCGTTGTTTGAGACTGTTTGGCATTCGATAAGTGAAATTAAGGTTCAAATCGGGAACGACGGAGGAGGAAGGTCGAGTATGGGAAGCAGCAAGAACAAGGTTAGCGAGTCATCTCGGTATGGGGAGCGAGTTGTGAAGCTTGCTGACTCAGTTAAGTTCTCTTCAATAAGGTTTTCTTTCTAAGCTTCAAGATTAATTTGTACTTGCGATATATATATATATAAAATTATTGTTTGATATACTATTAACCAATAAATTTTTTGGATGAATGATAATTTTAGATTTTTTTCTTTAATAAGTTTTGCGTTATGAATGGTTTTAAAATCGTGTATAATTTAACCAATAACAAAGCAGCAGCTGATTGAACCTAATTTTCTAGTGACGTGTCGGCCACTCGGCCAAAAGGTGCAACGTGCTGAACTACACCAACTTCATTCTCAACTAAACCCAAGCACATGCTGTTCTGAAGTCCAATGCTCCAATTTGTAATTGTACCGATCCTCTTTTGTGATTTTGAAAAAACACTAAAAATATTAATAAAAAAATATTATTATAACGTTTAAAACAATTCATTAATCTTAAAATTTTGGAAAAATATATTAGAGGGCATTAGAGGTAACTGTATTTTCTGAAAAAAATCAATATAATTCTCGTATTATTTTTTTAATGTAGCTTTCAAACTTAATAAAAAAACTTAATATGACCATTTGATTATCATTTGACAATTCACGGTGCTAACATAGTGATTCACGATATTGATATAATAGTTTATCTATCATGTTTAAGTTACTAATTTAATTTTTTTTGCTATATTATACGTTATCAACCATTGTTGATCGTTTTATCAACCATTGTTGATCGTTACGTCAACATCGTAGATCGTCACGTCAGTACTGTAACGGTCAATGACGAAAAGCGTTAGTCAGAAGGTCACTTTAAATTTATTTTGTGAGTTGAAAGACTACGTTAAAAGAAAAAATAATATAAGAGTCATATTGAAATTTTTTAAATATAAAAATCTTTAATACCTTTTTACCTGAAATTTCAAGTTAAATTTTATTAACATCCGCTTAACACGAAATATAATATTTAATACAATATTTATATTAAGCCTATTCAATGATTTTAGCGATGATAACAAAATTATTGTTTTTCGTAAAACAATTGGGTTTAAATAATTGTCGTAAGCACGATATTTACATTATTAATTAATTAGTATTTTTAGATATATATTATTTTATAATTATTTAAAATATATAATATTTATATTTAATAGAATATTAATTGGATTTATATATTATATTAAATATTTTATTAAAATACAGATATAACATTCTCTCTTTATTTAATGGAGATATCCACTAGGAGCTCAAGTTATCCCTTCCTTTTCCAGTTCTGGTCAGCTTAAGTTATTCTTTTCTTTTGTTAAAAAAGAATAAAAACAATTCAGTTAAATTCAAACAAATCAAAAAGAATAAAACACAAGGCGGTCGCGAAGATAAAATACCAACCTCCAGCCGCTAAACTTCCAGCGAAAAACCTCGCGCGCGGCCATTTTTACTGAACGTTCGCAGAATGGAGCAATCAAAGACGGTAGCCGAGCCAAAGTCCAGATCAAAGCAACCTCCGGCCGAAGAATCTCACCAGAAAGAGTCGGATCCCGCAATGGACGCTGAAGGCTTTGTTATGGTGTCAACAACAGAGCCGGAAGTACAACAAGGGAAACAGACTCAGAATCCGAGAGAGAGTGAGATTCAAAGCGAGCAAATGCAATCACCGAATCAAACGTCATCCGGATCGAGGAAAACGGTTCACTGGAGTCCTGAGTCGGTTAGTGAATCGCCTGCTGCGGATCACGGCGTTGCCGGATCCGCTCCTGACGGACCTAATCCTTACATCGCTCACGATTCCGCTCCCGAATCTTTTTCGACTTCCTTCAAAGGCAAGCAATTAGACATTTATTCCGATTTCAGTAGCTTTATTTTTTTTCTCTAAATCTTTAAATAATTATGAAATTGGAAACAGAGAAAATGGACACAGTGAAAGAGGTATTGGTGAGATGGGGGAAAAAGCCGAAGAAGCCGCGAGAAAAGCCGAGGATCTGGCAGTCAACACGTGGCAGCACTGTGTGTTTTCTCTTGTTTATTTCTTATGTAGTACTAGTATATTTTATGTGCTACCAATTATTTTTTAATTTTAAAATCTTCATTTAAGTTTTTTGATTTTATTATCCATGGTCATCATATCAGTAAAAACAAGTCCGAGTTTTGGTGAGGCAGCCATGGGAAGAATTGCTCGAGGAACAAAGGTTTTAGCAGAAGATGGGTACGAGAAGATATTCAGGCAAACTTTTGCGACGGTTCCGGAAGAGCAACTCGGAAATTCATTTCCATGTTACTTTTCCACATCAGCTGGCCCTGTCATGGGAGTTCTATATGTTTCTACATCAAAGCTTGCATATTGCAGTGACACTCCTCTTTCCTATGAAAATGGTACCCAAACTGAATGGAGCTACTATTTGGTATACCTGCATTACACTTGATGCAACTATAGATTTGAATACCATATCGATTCGATTCTTCATTGTAATTGAAATACTCGTATTAATCTGATATTCTTTTTTTTTTTTTGATAATTCAATTTTTATTACCCAAAGAGCATAGAACTGCTACAAAAAACATTCAATGTTCAAAATTACAACGATCACCTAAAAAAACGAAAGGCAATCAGAACAAAATTAAATTATACCCCATTAGTTACAAAGAGTAATGTTAACGTTATCAAATCTATGTATAAACCTGCCCCTAAGTTGGAACCCAACAATTTCTTTGATCTCACTAAACATGGCTTCAACAGTAGTGGCTTGGGATTGAAAAAGCCTTCTGTTTCTTTCTTTCCAAATGATGTAAATCAAAGCAGCATAAGAGATTTTCATGATAGAGGTAAAAAGTGATTTACCCTTCCAGGTAGCTACTACCCATTCGACTAGGTGATCCCAATTAGAGTGCCTAAACCGAAGACCGTAGAGGGAGAAGATAGAAGTCCATAGTGCCTTGGCAACCGAACATTTCAAAAAAAGATGATTCTTGGTTTCTATACCAGCATCACAAAATAAGCATGTACAGTCTTTAGCGATCCCCATACGGTGCAGCCTCTCTTTGGTAGGAAGCTTATCAAGCATAGCCATCCACGTAATGAGAATGTGTTTGGGAATAAGAAGAGGAAACCAGATCAGGGCATGCCAATGAATTTTAGGATTATTCTCCCTAATATCATTCCATAAATCTTTAACTTTCTTGGAAACCAAAGGCATAGCAGCGGAAGCTTTTGACCTGAGCTTCAAAATTTGCTTTAAGCTCCAACTCATATTAGTTTTAACAGGAACATACCAAAAATCGTTGGAGCAGAACATATAGCTCTTTAACCACGCAACCCACAGAGATCCTTCACCAACAAGGATATTCTTGATTAGGCTCATCATGCAAGCTTTGTTCTAAATTTTCAAGTCTTTAAGACCCAAACCACCCTCTGTTTTAGGCCGACAGATTTGTTTCCAGCTCACTCTTGCACCAGCAGCTGATTTATCAGCCCCTTTGCAAAAGAACCTAGAACATAATTGATCTATTTTTTTCAAGACAGAGAATGAGAGGAAAAGTTATATGCGCCAATAATTTGTAATATTATATAAAACAACTTGGACAAGCTCTAATCTTCGAGCATAACTTAGAGTCTTATCAGACCAAAGATGTAACCGAGATTTAATGGCATCAATAAGAGCAGAACAATCGTTTTCAGTAATTTTCCTAGTAACCAGAGGAATTCCCAAATACCTTATTGGCAGCCTGCCAATTTTGAATCTAGTAATTAGACTAATGTCCTCAAGAGTTGAGATAGGAATACCAGCAGAAAACATATCACATTTCGAAGCATTTAATTTCAGTCCAGAAATTTCATAAAAAGTATCAAGAACAGATTTAACCCCAATGATAGAGTCCATAGTGCCCTTACAGAAGATTAGTAAATCATCAGTAAATGAGAGATGGGTAAGGCCAATGCGCTTACATTTGGGATGATAACTAAACAACCCTTTTGATGCTGCCAAGTTCAAGAGATTTGAAAGAACATTCATTGATAGGAGAAATAAGTATGGGGAAAGAGGATCCCCTTGCCTTACACCCTTAGCTCTTCTAAAATACCCAATCAGACTTCCATTTAAAGAAACTGAAAAGCTAGTAGTCATGAAGCAAGTTTCAATCCAAGAGATAAAAATAGGAGGAAGACCAATAGCCTTTAAAACAGTAGAAATAAATCCCCAATTAACAGAATCAAAGGCTTTATGGAGGTCAATTTTCATAGCAGAACGAGGAGATAAATGTTTTCTGTTGTACCCTCTCATTAATTCCTGGGCCAGCAGAGTGTTATCAACAATGGATTGCCCCTTAACAAAGGTTGTTTGATTGAGGGTGATGAGATTTGGAATTACTTTGGAGAGTTTATTGACCAGAATTTTGGAAATTGCTTTATAAACAACAGTACAACAAGATATTGGTCTAAAATCTTTGACCTTACTTGGATTATGAATCTTGGGAATCAAAGCTATTGTAGTAGCATTGAAAGTAGGACGGATAAATGGTTCCTAGAAAAATTGTTTAATGGCAGCAGAGGTCTCTTCACCAATGATAGCCCAAGAATGTTTAAAAAAGATAGGGGTGTAGCCATCAGGACTAGGGGCTTTATCGTTACCTTGAGAAAAAAATCCATCTTTAATTTCATTCATGGTAATTTCTTTGGTAAGATCTGCATCAAGATCAATAGGGATAGTAGTATGGAGCAGGTCACTTAGCAAAATTGGATCAATACCTTTGACCATTAGGTCAGAATAACCCAGTAGATTAGAGAAGAAGTTAATAATCTCAGATGACATAGCATCAAAAGATTCTAATTTGTTCCCTTGGTCATCAATCAATAGTCTAATGGTGTCTCATTTATTTTTTAGGGCAACTGCTGAGTGAAAAAATTTAGAACATTTATCCCCTTCTTTGAGCCACTGAATTTTGGCTTTTTGTTTCAAGAACATAGCTTCAGCATCTTCCAAAAAAAAATAAGATCCTTATGTAAAGGGATTTCTAAGTCATAGCAAGCTTCTCCTTTAAGAGTTTTAAGCTGTTGTTGCTCCAGTTCAACTCTTTTAGAAATAACCCGAGAAGATAGTTCACTAAAGAAAGAATTATTGAGGGTTTGAGATGAGATTTGAGACGCTTAAGCTTGGAGAAGAGAATCAGCATTGGACTGCCCGTGACAGGTGAAAGCCAAGATTGTTCAACCAGAGCAAGGAAATATGTCTCTTTGAGTTTTAAGCCTTTACGTAAACTTAAAACAGTTAATCCTTCAACGAGCCGACTCAATTCTGCTGAAAAGTACATCCAAGTTGTCTCTGTTGATGGTCATGAATTTTGGTTCATGGGATTCTTAAACTATGAAGGAGCTGTTACATTCTTAAAGGAAGCTTTGCAGCTCCATACTTCTCAGTCTTCGTGATACCGTTTCTACCAGTGTAACATTCACTCCGTTGTGCAGCTCGTTATCGTTCGACGGATTGACTCGGCCGATCGGGAGCATCTGATATAAGCTATTCAGTGTTGGAAATGAAAAGTTTGGTAACGTTAATGGATATCTGATGACTGTCAAGAGGAGAAGAATATAATGAATCTGTTCTGTTTTAAGCTCAATGTAATTGAAATGGCAGTTGCTGTAATCCGTGCAATCTTATGCATTGTGTCTCGTGCTAAAATGATTTGATACATTTAACTTATGCACATTTATAGCATCTGGAAGTGATAATTTGATGACAAATTTATATGGTAATTCGCGCTGGGTCATTGGACAAATTTATTAACAACAGATTACTAGTATTTTCATGGGTAAATTCAGTATTTAGTCGCATAAAGTTTACTGTATTTTGTTCTGATCATCCAACTATAAAAAATTATGATTTTACCATCAGACTTTTAAATTTATTTACTTTTTGTCATCCGGCTCTCAGGTGTGTAACGAAAATAGAACAACTATGTATTTTGGACCGAAACTGTTATTATATAATGTATTTTGCTCTGTGCTTTCTTTCAGAATTCAGACACAAACTGACTTAAAACTGAACCAAATCTCAGACGTTGACCGGTCTTACTCTGAAACCGAAACCCTTTTTGTTGGCAAACTCACTCTCTCTGGGCCCCCCACCCATAAGGCACCTTCTTGAAAACCTCTTAAATAATGTGATTATATAAAGGGTAAACTAAATCATTAGTCACCAATACATTACTTACTTCTTAATTTAATCATTAAATTAATTTTTTAGTAAAATACTAGCTAATATTTTTTTATTTTAATAACAATTAATAAATATTTTAATAAAGACAATAACATGATATTATTTTTTGTATTTTCACTATTTTTTTCATCATTTTTTATATAGAGACTATTAATTATAAAAAATGATATAAAATTAAAAATATCATATTAATGTCATATAATCATCGTCCTAGACTGGTGGTTTAATGATAATCTTTATATAAATATAAATATATGAAACACGAACCAAACGATCTTAGTGATTAAAGAAATTGTTATTATTTTTTGATATTCTGAGTTCTAACATCATGTATGCAAGAATATGAACCTTCAATTTTAGAGGGTTTAAAGTTTTTGCACAGATATTACCATATAATCGCTCCGAATTTATCAAAAAAAATATATAAATAATTTAAGATAAATAATTTAAATTTAAAAATACCTTAAACAAGACAAAGAAAATGCACAAACCAAGTACCCACCATAAAATAAACAAAACTATTTTAATCATTACTAAAATGCCATAATTACACCCTAATTGCTGCCTGAAAGAATATTACAGTCTCAGTTTTGATTATAACTTCTAACTTGATTTTCTTTCTCATATATATAATTAAAATCTACAACAAATAAAAACAATAATAAGAAACCTGTAGTTTTTCTTTCTAAAACCAACACCCACCATGACAATGGCAGAGGCACCCTCCACTTCTTCCCGTAATATATATATATATATATATATATATATATATATATATATATATATATATATATATATATATAATTGTGGGTTCTTAAACTATATGTGAACATTTTTTTTTTTTGGCCTTGAGATTTTATTCCTATGTATGTTCTCATTTTCACTCTGTTTCCAGCAACAAAACCAGATTCAAAACTAAGCAAAGGGCAATTTCAGGTCTCATGGAACATGACATCCAGTTGAGGTGATTTGTTGTCTAGTTTCCTCCTTTTAATGTCTGGTCTGGGATGACAACTATTCGGAAATAACCCATGTTTTGCTTCATCACTTTTATAGCTCAAACATGTTGAGCCATCCAATACCCCAATGGGGCTTTGGGGTACACACGAAGCTGAAGGAGCTGCAGTGCCGTCGATGAGTGTCGAATCTTTCATCACTTGAACACACTTCAACACTCTTTCCTGCAAAAGAAACCGTCGAAGATCAACCGAATTTGTCATCTCTCTTGAGCTGTGCATCTTAATTTTTTTTACCTTTTGTATAATGATGAATGATGAAATAGCTTTATCTACGGTGAACCCTCGCGTTTCAAGAGAAACGGAAACGGCCACCGCTGCGGCAATTTCAGAAGGTCTGAACTCCAACAAGTCAATACCTGCATTCATTTATTAGATCCACCATTTTTCAATGAAAAACATAAACAAAATAGATTTAGTGAGAGATAAACCTCTGATCGTGTTCAATATTAGTTGTAATGATCTAGAGATCAAAGTCGATGACGGATATTGATCGTTACAAAGCTTGCTCAAGAAGTGATCAATGAAGGAACAAGGTGTTAGAACTTGCATTCTCCACTTCAATGTGCTTAAAACCAAAAGCTCCATTCTTTGGATTGTTTTAGCTTCAAACACAAACTTTGGTTCCCCTACCTGCAAACAAAAACAATCACGAAACTCGAACCGAGGAAAAGACGAGTGATTAAACTGCATTGCAAAAGACATTGAATCAAGAACCTGCAAATTTACAGATGAAGGCACCATTGTCTCCTCCATTTTAGCTGCAATAGATAAACACGCAACAGCCAACAGTTGGATTGTCCATGTCTTATCTCTCTGTATCATTTTAATCAGTAACTACATTATGATTTAAGAACTTAAAGAATCGAAATTCGAGGCAAATTCGAACACTTACAGGTAAGCCATACATTGATAGGAACCTATCCAAGTAGTTAATTGATAGGCAAATACTCAAATGTCCAAAGCTGAAATAAGCAGAAGCCTGTTGATGAAAAATGAAGGATTAAAACTATCAATTTCACAGCACATTAACACATAAAACTAATTACAAAAGCTAGTTAAATGGATCAAACAAGCAAAGAGGCAAAAAAAAACAGACCTTACAAATCCATTCAATGCCCTGTCTCCTGGCAATCAAGTCCAAATCCCCAGTTCTCAGTCTCTTGAGATAATCATCTCCAGGCAAATGCATCATCTCTTTTTCAACCATTTCCTTAATTACATCATCACTTTGTAATTCAAAACCAGGACAACCCATCAAAGAAGTTGATCCGTTGGTTACAAGAAAAGGGTCATTTTGATTAAAGGTCTGGTTTTTAAAGGCAGGGGAAACCCCAAACTCATCCACGGCATTGAAATCAAGATCACCATCAAAGCAACAGCTTGTGTTCTCTGTACAGAGGAGATTCGTGGCCGAACAGTCGAGATTTTCTGCCATTTTTTCTCAAGAAAACCACCAAAAAGGTCAAGTATAAGAAAACCCCAGAAAAAAGAAAAGAAAAAGAAAGAAAGAAACTTCAATTAAGGATGAAGGTGGAAGCTTTGAGTTGAAAAGGGCTCATCAATGGGGTTGCGGGGAAGAGCATAACTTTGATTATAACAATAAAGCCAAGAAGAGAGAGTGAAAGGGAGTGGGGCTGAGCGGAGACTGTTGCAATAAGAGAAGCTTTATGTAGGCAAAGAGAAGTTGAGATTTTAGGGCAAAATGAGAAACGAAATCGAGGGATCCAGGAGAGGGCAGCCGCGCCATTGCGAAAAAAAAGGAACTAGAAAGGAAATATATTGGAAAAATGTTATAACTACTACAAAAATGGAAATGAAAAAAAAAATAATAAAATTGACCAAATTCATTTTCATTTTATTTTTCACGATAAAGATGGTTATTTTAGTTTCATATCATCAGATTTTTTTACCAAACATAGAACCGTATATTAGCATAAGCTTCTTTGTTTCTTACATATGATAATCTTTGTATACTGATTTCATTTATTTGATCGAAATGATGACTTTTATCCTTATAAATTTAATTTATAAATGAACTAAGATACATATTATTTTCATTCTCTAGTATATTCTTAAGTTATGAGTTCAATATCCATTAAAATTATTTATTCTCTATTTTATCATTTTCTTTAGATCATATTAGAATTATATTTAAAAAAAAAATATAATGTCAAATTAATTTGAATATCAATCTTGATTGGTTTCGGAGTTTAAAGAAAATGAAAATAAATTTAAGGTCAAATTAATTTGAATATCAGTTTTGATTAGTTTCAGAAGTTAGAAGAGAATGAAGATAAAAATAGATAACTATTGCACATGCTACATGTATTACACATGACACCATATTATCAACTAGTTTAAATTAAATACGATATTAAGTGATTACAACATAAAATAACATAGATACTTATTATGTCATCTCGAGATTTTATGAAAATATAATGTGACCTTTCGAAGGAATCATCTCCGAATGAATCATTCATATTTAACAACTATTATGTCACTCGAAAATCAAAAATAGAAAATCAATCTATGATGCTAAATCGATTAATGATCTAATCTCCAACGATAAATTGTAATAAAAAAAAATTAGAATAAGAGATTAGAATAAGATGCTAGGTCGAAAAATGACTTACAACGGTCCACCGTCGTCCCAAATATCCAATCTCCAACGGACACATAATGCAATATAGAGAACAATGATCATAATAAATACTTAATTAAATAAATAAGTTTCTTTATAAACTAACGAGTATTCCCTTTGTCCTATAATTCGTGTTTAATATTAATTATGCATGATATATTTGATCGAGGAAAATGATAAAATTATCCTTAAAAATTATTAATAAATTTGATAAATATATTGTAATAGGTATAAAGAAGTAAGACATATAAGAGTAAAAAAAATGAAACCTTGGAGGAGGATGAAACATAAAATGAATTGTTACTGTCTCTTAATAAATCTTATACTAAGCCTAAATTATAAGTTTAATCCTCATACTATAATTCAATTAATTTTAACTTTATACATTTAAATATTATAAGAATAATATATTTAAATTAAACAAAAAATGAATTAAAATCTATAACTTTTAGATAATACAAAGATTAATAATATAATTTTATCTAATAAATTTTAGGGGCTACTGTTTAATTTTAAATTTTAAAAAAATGTTAAATAAAAAGTTTCACAAATCATAATTGTATCGAAATTTTAGATTTTTTTTCCCTGAAAAAGAAAATGAAAATTTTAGGACAACGAATCGGTCTGACCATGACCTAATAGCGACAAAACACTTCCGAAAAACACTTTGTCCAAATGTGAACTACTTTTCCATTTGAAAAAGGTTAATGGCAGCAACGAGAGAGAAAAAAGCTACTATCACCACCGCCAGCAGCTCTAGCGCCACCACTAATGGAGGCGCGTTTACCACAGTCAAAGAGACGGTAACATTGGAGAAAGAAATAAAGAAGAGCAAATTCATAGCCGTCGCCGGCTCAATCTCCATCGAGCAATCCGCTCACTCTTTCCTCAATCAGGTCAAGGATCCGCGTGCCACTCACAATTGCTGGGCTTACAAGGTATCTGATACGTCGCCATTTCGGTTTACTATTATATGTGATCCAATTCCAGCTTATGAATTTGACGTCGTTAAAAGGATTATATAGGTTGGGGATCAGTACCGGTCCAGTGATGACGGCGAACCTTCTGGTACGGCGGGGAAACCAATTCAATCGGCGATTGACTTCTCAGGTTTAGATAGAGTCATGGTAGTCGTTATTAGGTATATTAAATTACTTTGATTTCTTAATCATAATCAAAATTACAGGGGCAAAATGGAAACCGAATTTACTTGTTCTAAATGGATTTTAGGCATTTTGGGGGAATCAAATTGGGAGCGGGAGGACTTGTTAGGGCTTACGGTGGAGTGGCGTCGGAATGCTTGAGAAATGCTCCGACTTGTCTCATCAAATCTAAAGTAAGATTTTTTTTTTTTGATTTGAATCAATTGAAACACTAATTATTTGATTGGAAAGTTTTGAAGGTTCCAATGGGTGTGGAGGTTCCTTTCGATCTTCTGGGAGTTCTGTACCATCAAGTAGGCGTTGTTTTTTTTCTGAATGTTTAAGGTAATTTTGAGACGTTAATTATCTGTGTCATGTTTTTGGTAATGCAGTTGCAATCATTTTAAGCAGAGGACATTAAACAGGATTATGATACTGGGAAAGAAGGGATAACCATGGTTTCATTTAAAGTTGATTTCGATAAGCTTGACAAGTTGGAAGAGTCTATCAGAGCGAATTGTAGCAGACAACTTGTGTTCTAAAAGCGTTGAATTCTACAATTTTCACAGCTGAAACAATTGGTATATGCTCTAAATCTGGACTTCGACTGTTCATGTGTTATTATCAAAATCATAATTGTGTTTAAAGTACATAATTTTGACATGTGAATATCAGAGAGTGAAAGGAGGCTTCTCAATTTTCTTATTGGTCTGTCTATCGCCATTTTCAAAGCTCTCTTAAGCATACCTATCCCTTCATTTCCACTAAACCCTTTAATCCACAACACACTTTTATTCCTTCCTCCTATAAACACCATCTCCGCCCTCACGACCGTCCCATTTGCCTTCCTAATTTCTCGTGTGAGATCATGTATCAGCTCCGGCCTGTCGTCACAGCTGAATGTTGCCTTCACCATACTCCCATCCTTTTACGATAACCCAAACTCAAGTTGTTTGACTCACCAGGGAGCACACGCTCCAAGCTTCCATTACAAACGCCTTTCATTTCTTTTACTCTCCATTTCAGCTCCTTTACAAACCTCACTGTCTCGTCTAACACCAATGCCTTGTCCATCTGTGACTTGAAATGAAAAGTTTAACTGAGTACCCTTTTTCTTTATAAAGGAGGCCTCAGCTTAGGATTATCAATTATGTTACCACGGAAATGTAATGATAATTAAATTTATGTGATCTCTTCTTCACTTACTTTGATCAAGTTCGGTAGGATGGTTATGTGAACCTGTTGACTGATCCGCTTTCTTCGATCCCTCTCAGCAATTCTGTGTTTCAGGGCATTGGTTACGATAACCTCAGCCTTTGATTTAGTCTTCTTCGTCAAACTTTGGAAGCTGAAATCAATCGCTGAAACTGAACCATAGTGACCTCTGAGATGGTGTTGCATATCCTGTTCTAACCACAGGTACAAAGCAGATGATTTATAGGAAGATTTCTCAACCAAAGAATGAGAAGATGGTAGAAACAGTGAACCGTTACCTGTTTCGGACGAACCATTGGGGGAGCTTGGGTTTTCTCCAGTAGAACTTGTTCCGTAGAAAGAAAGATCATAGATTGGGAAAGTGATTTTGTTCGAAGATTAAACAATCTTTGAACAAGGTAATACCCTTTTAAAGTTTATTAATAAGACCACATATGCATGCGGTAAAGAGATGAAGAATAAGAGACATCAAAGCTAATAAATGAGATTTAATGCATGAAACATGGGATGATTTCATGAAATATTTGATACAATCTAAACATTTAATTCTCCAGATTCTGGGATCTGGAGTTGTTGATTATGATATGCATGATTTTCTTATGATTTCATGTCTTGTAGTTGAACGTGGAGAATTTGCCATTATCCCCACCCTACTAGCACAGGAATAGCTAATGAAAAATGTTATAAATTAAAGATATTGAAGAGAACTTAAATTAGGCGGGTTCTTTTAGGCGCTGTCCCCTTACAGAAAGAGCACCAAGACACATCAAACATGGACCTGACTGAATCTGCTTCGTTTGATAGAATTAGCAAAACGTTATACAAAATTATAACTTAAAAGCAGGTAAAAAATTATAAAATGCTTAAGCTCTAGCAGCCCTGACAGCATTAGCAAGAAAAAACTAAAATCAAGGTTAGCTTCAGAAAGAGACGAAGACCATAGATAAATGCAGAAGAACTTAACATTTCAAAATGCTAATTTCGGTACCTAGGAATATCAAACTCTATTAGTGCAATACCGGTATGATTTGAAGGACCACAAAGACTGTCCGAAGCTCCTAAGAAAATAACGGTGTGTAGGTCATCACTCCCAAGTATCCACAAATTCATTCTATTTCAACCAATAGACAATTCAATCCTAATATTCAAATGTGAGAGTCGGAGAAAGGTGCAAGTTTAATATTGGAATGCTCTATTTTCCTTTTTCCTTTTTGCATTCCCGTATCGAAAATGTGCCTTATATGTGTACTTCATGAAAAATGAATAGTCTGAGTAACATTGCTTTAATCGAAGGGTTGATCTTCATCTAAAATCTAAAGAAGCTAACACTGTGCTTGCACTTGCAGAACTTGAAATACACGAGTAAATATAAACGTCCACTAAATCCTACAAAAGTCGGTTCAAGAAACAGAGATTGACACAATCAATTAAGAACATAACATCAAAACACACAATTAAGAAGCGTAACACAGTTTCCATTGATAATAACGACAAAACAACAAGAAGCTGATCAAGATTCAAGAACCTGTACCATAACTAGTGCATCTTTTTACCACCAAACGGGCTAGAAAACACAATGTCAGCCACACCAGCCTCTACACACAAAATTTGCTTCATGTTAACCTGTCTACTGTTAAAAATCATACAAGCACAGTGAGGAATCCCTTAACAGCCATTGATTTTTCTTCCTTCATCAAAGGACTCCGATTCATCTTCATTTAAACCATCTGCAGCTCCAGTCTAAACTGTCTTGATCTTCACCCCTCTCCCTGCAATTTTCTTAATACTCCAACCCACAGATTTTACTCTCTTCATTATGACCCTTCCTTCACCATTGTTGAAACCTTCTGCTTTCACTTCACCTGCCTCGTTTTTCACTTCCATCTCCTTCTCATCATCACTATCAGAAATCTCGACAACATGTCTTTTCGTAGTATCTCGCCGTCCGGACCCTTTTTTGTCAGTCGTTGAACTATTCCCCGAATCGCATTTCACCCATAAATGTTCCGGTGGCGCGGCCACCGTCATCGCATGAAACCCTTTTCTACAATTCCGACAACGCAGGTGGCACTCTTCATACCTCTTCTCGTAGTCGAACTTGTAATAGCAGTAGGAACATGCAGTCCAAAATGTGCCCTTCACGTTTTCAGTCTCTACTGGACTTTTTTTCAGCTCAAATTTCCCTTTTTTTCCTTGCGTTACATCATGCTTTTTGAGCTCATTGTCATCGAAACCCATGTGGGTTTCCCACCTTTGGTTGCCTGCAATCTTTTTTAGGCTGGTTTGACCATTACTTTGAGGTGGATTGAAACCGGAGTTGGCAACTTTTTTACTAAAATTGAATTTATCGCTCATTGGGGTTTAAGCCTTTAAGATAATGGAGGATTTGGTTAGGATTAGGGCTCGGATTTTGGAAATAGAGCGTCTCCTTAGCGTAGAAAAGGTCGGCCGGCCGTCCCAGGGTTTGGTAAAGCCCGGATGATTCGGATCGGAATCTTTGTGGCCGGCGAGAGAGAGCGTAGAAAGGAACAGGGAAAACCGAAATACTGAATAAATACTTTGCGAGGTTAAAATATAGGTAAACTAGGCATTAAATACATAAATTATTAATTTTAATCTGTGTTAGTACTTAATTTTTTTAAAACCATATGTCATAATTTTTTTAATTAATTTTTTCATAACTATTTTTTATTTAAAATTATAAATTAAATTTAAAAATAATTATAACTTTATTTTTTTTGGAAATTTTGTTTTTTTTAATTTGAATTTTAGAGTCGCCATCTACATTTGAGTTAAGTAGTCTAATATCTAAAAATGTCTCTTAAAACAATTTTAAACAAAAAATATTTCTAAGACAAAAATTGATTTGCGTTTATCAAAAATTTATTTTAGAGTGTCCAAAAGTCGGTTACGCGTGGGGATGATGAGGACTCCCACAATGCCCAAAAGATTGGTACCTTCGATTATACGTTATCTAAAACGATGAATTTTAAACATTTGAATTCAAAATTTAAAATACGATCCTTTCTATTTCTGTGAATTTTAAAAGAGTGAATTCTTTGAAAATATTTGACTCAGTGAAATTACTTAATTCACTTGATATTATTAAAAGAGGGATGTTCTCTTACTATATAAATTAATAGAAATTGAACTCCAGTTATATTAGACGAAATTTTGTTAACCCACGACATAAGATAATATTGCCCTTAAATTTTAAGAAGGACGAGAAAATGGATGCATGGTATATTAATGTGATAATAATAAACACATATACAAAGAACAAAGATGATATCAATCACAACAAACAAATAAATAAATAAAAATAAAAATAAAACATAAGCTAATGGATGACATAAAAATAAATAAACGATAAATCAAGGTCACGAAATTTTTGGGGGACTATTTATAACTATAAGAAAGCTAAGTATATAATTTAAAAAATTATGAATATAAATAACATACTAATCAGCAAGGAATTATTTAAAATACATTTGATTAACCTAATAAATAGAAACTAATCATATCAGAAGAATTTTATTCGAATAATCGCTTGGAAGGGCATTCCAGCTATTTGGAGGTCTTTCCTAAATTAGTCAAACAATTAACAAATAATATCAGATAATTTTCGAATTTAAATATTTACACAAGAAAACTTTTTGCTAATACGAATGCTTACAAAGACTTTAAAAAAGAAAATAAATAAATAAAAATAACTATATAAAAAATAAAAAATAAATAAAATTTATAAAAACATGTAAAGTACTCTAAGGACTAAATCAAAACCATAACAATTTAAGGGGATCTAACGGTATATTTAATACTGATATTTCACTTTATAAATATACATAAAAGATGATTAAAATGTATACGAAACAAGATTAAGTGGTTTGAAGTGCAAATAAAACAATGCTAAGCTTGGGACAAACAACATGACTGTAATAAAACAAATTTCGAATTAACGGATGAAAGTAACAACTAACCTGAAGGTACACAAATAATATGAAGACGACTAAAATGGAACCATGTTCAAATTAACCAATCCATTTCGAAATTAATCCTTAAGTAATAACTAAGGAATGGTGACCAAAGTACAAATACGGAAACATTTAAATATGGAAAACGAAAATTTGCCATTTCATTCGTGACTAAAATGGAATTTATACTTCAAGGATAAAAGGGTGGAATGAAAATCATCCCGGGTTGAAGGTCGGGTTGAGAGATAATCTACCTTTTGTTTTGTTTGTGCTTGCTTTTGTATTATTTTTTGTTTATGTTCATTGTTGATGATGTGTTGAATACTGTTTTCTTAGCTAGTGTCGATTAAACTGTTATTTACTTTAGATTTCTTTCCATGTAGATGTTATGTTAGTAGATGAAATCACAGTATTTGAGTTTTCCAACAGCTAGAAGCTGGAGTTGATATGGTGATTATGTCTCTTGTTGCTTGGCTTTGTGTGTATTTAAGGAAACAAAATTGCTGAAGTTTTTCTACTTGTAGGAAATTTCTCGATACAGATGGAGAGCTCGGATTTTTCTAGGCTTCATGTTCTAACTTCGATTGTTTTGCTGTAGTTTTTTTTTTTGGGTTTAGTTTATGCTTATCATTTGAAAAACATGAAAGGTGACTTATCAATGCATGTTCAGCTTTGGATATTGTCAAACATTTATATGAAATTTCCAATTCGAACATGATTCTTATTTTTATTATTTGAGGCTTTAACCAAAGGGAAGGACATAAATCATTAATTTTCATGAATTGTTTTCCATGGTTACAGTGTAATTGAATGTTGTAGTTACCAAATACTGAACAAGGAATGTCATTGGCAGGCTCACTTATATTTATTCCATTGGTTATGGTACCAGCCATGGGCGGAACAGATGTAAGCTTCTTTACCCGTAGAAGTATTGATTACTCGACATCTTAAGAGATTTGGAATATGAAATGCAGTGATATTTCTGATATGCAATGCAGAAAGATACTGCCACTGTGATCTCTACAATGCTGCTAATTTCTGGCATTAGCTCAATTATGCACTTCTACTTTTGTACCCGGCTTCCATTAGTTCAAGGGAGTTCGTTCATATATCTGGCACCGGCACTAGTTATCATCAATGCTCGGGATTATAGAAACCTCTCTGAACATGTAAGTTATGCAAAAGAAGATGAGTGTTGTATCTTCTGTTAGTTTCTCCTGTAAATGGCTTTGATGCTCTAAAGTTTGATCAATTTAATAAATACGGTCCCCTTATTGTCATCGAAAGTTTGCTTCCAATTCCAATTCTGTAAGAATAATTGAGCGCATCTTTAATTCATGGCAGACAAACTTAAACTAGTGTTTCATGAAATAGCATCTTATTCTAGTTTTCAATAATACTTTTTTTAAAAAAATTACTGTAGAAATTCAGGCACATAATGAGAGGGTTGCAAGGAGCTATAATTGTCGGTTCAGTATTCCAAAGTATCTTGGGATTCAGTGGTTTGATGTCTCTTTTACTGAGGTA